CCTTTAATTTTTCTGCTAATTTGTGTTTCACAAGACATTGCACAAAATTACACATATGTAAACATCCTAGGATTAAAAGCAAATTTGATGGGAACCACCAGTGTACAGATAGTCTCTGAAGTATATATGAATATGAATGTGCAAAAACAAAAAAAAAAGATTTGTGACCCCTGTATTGTTCTCTTCATAGGTCAGTTTTAAAATTATTTATTATTAATTATCATAATAATTGTCACAATAGAATAAGATTTTTTAACAGAAACCTAAAAAATAATACCAGAGAGTAAAACTAAAATTACATTAAATTATAACTAGAATGATACAAACCTTACATAAATATTTAAAATGATGTGTCTCATTCTGCCTATGGATGTAAGGGAAAAATTTAAGCACATATGTGATTAAATAATTTATTTAACCAGACTTTAAATTGTGGAGTATGTATTACACATCGGAGTATGTATTACACCAGCAGAATGCCTACTCTAGCCCACGTGTGTAGGTGAAAGTAGAAGCAAACATACATAGTGGTTAAAACCACAGGCCTGGAGTCTATGCTCCTAGGTTTGACTGTCATTTTGCTCTTCCATTTGCTATACAGCCCTGAAATATTACTATAACTCACATTTCAAATCTCTCTAAATTCTGCACAACAAATATTAATAGTATCAACACACTCATACAGCTCAATAACTTTGTATTCTAATTATTAAATATGATAATGCACACAGATATATTTCCTAATATAGTATACTTAGTAGATAATAGTTCTGTCCTTTGTGGCTTTGATTTTATGAAAGATGAAAATGTAGAGTAAGGTCTGGGATTTAGCTCAGTGGTGCTTGCAAGTGCAAGATACTGAGTTTGTCTCCCATACTGAAAAAAGAAAGAAAGAAAATGTAAAGTAAGATTGGCACAACATGATCTTGAAAAAAGGATTTGGGTTTCTTAGAAGATAAGGGAAGAGATAAGAGGAAATTAGATAGATGGCCATGATAATATAGAATAACCTTCACTTAGTTGAAGATATTTAAGGAGTGAAGAAAGTCATATGCCCTATAAATTCTTTCAAGAGACACAAGAATATTGAACATAGAATGATTGTAATTATATATACAAATTTAAATATGCATAAATACTATTGATAAGTGCTGAAAGTGTAATTGAACAAGGTATTTCATACATGTACCAAGGTAATTTCAAGTGTAATCTCTTATTTGTCACCTTTTAACCAATTTATCTATATAGACATAAAGCCTTTATATCTATTAAATCTGCCGTATGTTTTCCTTGTTTCTACAAGATCATGTCCTAGTTCTCAACAGTTTTCCACATCTACTGAATTATTCTCTTTAATTATCTCTGGCCTATACTCGTGTCCCACTCTGTCATCCCTCACAAACAAATCCTTACTATCTAGTTAATAAGCGCCACTAAGCAACAGAATGATTCACCTTTTAAGAATTATAGTCCCATCTATCAATCAGCCAGTGCCTACTAGAGAAACAGATTTAATGTAAAGTGTGCAAATATATAATGATTTACAAGATAAGCTTACAATGGTCACACACAGAGTCAGGTGTGGAAGAATATAAAGGGGCTGTCTGCACACTAAAAATGGGAAGAATCCAGTCAGGGGCCTGGAGCTCTCTGTAGTGTTCCATAGTAGTTGGTATCAGGAGGCCAAAGTACGGCAATAAAAGGCTGAAGGATCTGTGCTGGAAGTCAGGAGAAGATGTCTGAGGTGAAAGTGAGATTGGAGCTCCTCCAAAGAAACAGAAGGAAGCCTTCCTTCATTTCACTTTTATCCCATTCAAGTGACAAGCCTATTGATTGGTTTCACTTCCACCAAAGGTGGGTCTCTTGTTTTTAGTAAATCCCTTCAGCCACACCCAGAACTATGCTGATTCAATTTTATTGGTCATTCCTTACTGAAGTTGACCCAGTCAGCTATCATATCTCTGTTCCTAGAAGTTAACATAACGCAGGAAATATCAGAGATCATGATGCCAAACCAAGATTGTCATTTACCAGGTGGGCAATTTTGGAGAAACACTCTGCCACTATACGGCTTTTTTCTATTCAAAAAAAGTGAATAATTCCACTGCCTTTTAAAAATTATTATAATGATTGAAACAAAGTCTTTGTAAGTAGAGAGGGGTGGAGGGGTTGAAGGGAGAGCAGGGGAATGGGGAAAAAAATAAGAACCAAGATAGATCATGCAAAGGTTCAAATTTCCAATGATGAATGTCACTACATTGTATACCCATAATGTACTGTTAAATTAATTTTTTAAAAGAGAGTATTTCTGGTTAGGTGATGAAGAAGAGCAAAAGATGCTGAGATGTTTTAAAAAATTATAATGATTGA